AATGATAAACAATAAAACATAAAAATATGTCAAGTTTTGATTGTTTATAACATGTTCAAAGATTATGATTCCAAAATGTTAGGTGTTTCCATTATTTTGTCCAACCCCTGTATGTTTAACTTTAAAATACACAATTCCTGTATAGAAATTACGCGTATCTAGATAAAAAATTACAGTGTTACAGCCTATTGTATTGGAATATACTGACATCCAACACAATTGTATTTATTTATTTAATTAACCAATTAATTATTCTGGCAGTCTTGCAATTCATGCTGAATCATCGCTTGTTTTGCGTACTTTGGTGGGAGCTGCCAGTTCAAACGGATTCGAATATTCTGATTTATTGAGTGATTCATACCCAATTGCCTTCCCTGCATCCACAAGTGATTTGTTGTATTTCTTGTTATGATGAGTTCTATAATCACTATCAAAAATTCTTCTCTCAAACGTTTGTGGACACTCTAGGCATACAATCTTATATCTCTGCTACAGCTAAGATACATACAAATATAACGTAGCTAAAACTAGCTATAGATTATAACAGGGATACAGTAAACCTCTTTTGTAGGCCTAAATATTGGGTCTGGTTTTGGGAGCAGACCAGTTTATCACACTCAACAATGCCTAAACAGTTCTTAATAAATTTAATTTCGCCATCTCTAGGCTTATTCTATTTATATAGGTTACTATGCTGATGTTAGAAAGTTGTAGGCTTATTCTATTTATATAGGTTACTATGCCGATGTCAGGATGTTCACTAATGATAGTTTGTTACTTTTTCGATGTCGTACGTGAATTAGCCATGCAATAATACGAGATGATGACGCCATAAAAAAAAAACCCGCACACCGGACATGCGCAGAAATGAAAACAGCTTGTCAATTTCAATCATAACCCTAGACACAGCTAAGCCCAGACTAGTTCTAACTGGGTCGTAATAACAGGCGTTTTGAAACTTGCTGGATTAGTGGATTTTAATCAGTTAATGGCAATGACATTAATGTACATTTTTTGTTAAAACGTTTTGTTTTTGTCAATCAGCCGCGATGCCAGACCCAATGGCAATGTTTTATTGTAGCAAAGTTTTTAACACATACACACACACACACACACACACACACATATATATATATATATAATAATAAAGTCATTACGTTTAGTGTCTTTACATATATGATTAATTTAGATAATAGGTAAT